AGGTTCTTCCTCATGTTGCATATATAGTAGAGGAATCAACATGGTGCCTGTCAAACCTCCTAAATCAAAAAACATGAATTCTAAGTGAATAACATTGATTATGTCTTTACAGTGGCACCTGTCAAGGGGTGGGATATATTAGGCAGCAAGTGAACAGTCAGTTGTCGAAGTTGAAGTGTTGGAAGCAGTATAAATGGGCAAGCATAAGGATCTGAGTGACTCTGACAAGGGCCAAATTGTGATGGCTAGATGACTGGGTCAGAGCATCTCCAAAACGGCAGGTCTTGTGGAGTGTTCCTGGTATGCAGTGGTTAGTACCTACAAAAAGTGCTCCAAGGAAGGACAACCTGTGAACCGGCGGCAGGGTCACTGGTGCACGTGGGGAGTGAAGGCTAGCCTATCTGGTCTGATCCCACAGAAGAGCTACTGTAGCAAAAATTGCTGAAAAAGTTAATGCTGGCTATGATAGAAAAGTGCCAGAACACACAGTGGATCACAGCTTGCTCCATATGGGGCTACGTAGCTGCAGACCAGTCAGAGCCACCTACCTAAACATTGTTGCAGACCAAGTAAACTCCTCCATGGCAACAGTATTCTCTAATGGCAGTGGCCTCTTTCAGCAGGATAAGGCTCCCTGACACACTGCAGAAATTCAGGAATAGTTTGAGGCACATGACAAAGAGTTCAAGGTGTTGACTTGGCCTCCAAATTCCCCAGATCTCAATCCAATCGAGCATCTGTGAAATGTGCTGAACAGACAATTCTGATCCATGGAGGCCCCACCTCGCAACATACAGGACTTAAAGGATCTGCAGCAAACATCTTGGTGCCAGATACCACAGCACACCTTCAGAGGTCTTGTGCAGTCCATGCCTCGATGCGTGGGTCAGAGCTGTTTTGGCAGCACTATGGGGACCTACACTATATTGGGCTTTTTAATGTTATGGCTGATCAGTGTATATTTCCCATGTCAGTGTACAACTCAGAGCATCATCTCAGGCACAAACTGAAAATAAATTGCGATTTTCTCAATTTCATGTAAATTAGTTATAGCTCAGTCAAGCGACAAATCATATTGATTGACTTCCTCAGACAGATCACATGGTGCCAGCTTTTTCATGTCACCAGTTCTCTGCTCTCTACTATTAGTTTGATTCCAGCTATCCTTAGCAGGATTGGCTTGAACCGTGAAAGGTGTAAAGGCTATTTTGACTCCGTTAACTGCTCAGATAAAGGCCAATAAAAGCCATCATTCTAACAAACTTCAGTTTTACTAAATAAAAGCCATGAAAACATGCTAGCTGAGTGGGAATGCAGTTGGATACCGGCTTTCAACATTACCAGGATTACGAACAATGGGCCTCATTTACCAAGTTGGATATGATTGGATTTATGTGTAAATTATTCATACGAGTGTTTACACAAGAAATATGGTATTCCTGAAAATCCTGTAAATTCGCAAAAACTTTCATATTCTGCTCCTGCTCCTGAGTGTGTGTAAATCTACACATATGAAGACTAACCAATTATATGATTTGAAGTAGTTCGACTTGATCTGCTTAAGATCATATAATTTGCATGGATACTGCACTTTTATATGGAATATATGGAGTTTAATTTGCTTATTTTAATAAAATTTAAACATTTAAATGTTTGGATAGCATAAATATTTGATTGATTGAAGATTTTGTGTTATTTATTTTTTCTCTTTTTATTAAAGGAATATACTTTATGTTTCAAGCAGTTTAATCTCTTATTCATTGCAGACTTTCAAAATTACTTAACGATTTCCACTTCAAGCACTAGCTGTAACTTACTTTTTATGCATTTTTGGGGGTGAATGTTGACAGATCTATAAAGGTTGACCCTCATTTATAGTTAAACACCAGAAATTTGCTTCTTGATTGATGAGCACTACACTGCTGCTACTTGTAATTACATTAAAAAAAGGCTGAAGTTCTTTTTTTTTTTGCCAGGCCATTAATCAGTTTCTCTGCACTTGCTTTTCCACTATCATTTATGCATTTATTTAATACTACTCCTTTAACATAAACAGAAGCAATGTGTTTGACAGTGAATTCTGATTCAAAGTGTGCATACAGTGATTGATGCAACAGACTCAGTGTTGTGGAACTGCTTGTTTCTTATTCTCACTTACTTTTTTCTCCTCCTCATGTTTGCTTGATAAAGACCTCAGTGGCCAACATCCAAAATGTCACACGATAACAGTTTGAAAAGTTGAGACCGCACACTTGTACAAAAACCACATTCTTACACTCACTACACTTCACAATCACATATATCAGGTCCAAAGCTTTAGTACAAGCTTCCACCTACAGTATGACAGCAACTTCTACATGAGCTGGCAGATAAAGACCTTATCAGAAGCCATGACAGAAGAGATTATGTGTTTGTCTTGGCGTTAAGTCCCAAAGTCTCTCATAATCATTGCCAAAGATTTTCCATGTACTTGGACAGAGCTGAAGTTGGAGACTCCTCAAAGTTATGTGCTTCTCACAGCTCATTTCAGATACAGAAAGAGAATCAAGGGGCCATTATTTCTGTTCCCAACAGTGTCAAACGCTTCCTGTTTACATCCTGTTTTACTTCTGGCTTCCCTTTTTTTCTGGATCTCCACTTCCTGGATTTCTTTAGTTGGCAAAGCCAGGTTAGCACTGTATGATTTTCAGCCTGATTTTGTTGTTGTAGACAAAAATTAAGCTATGACACAGGCTAACAGACGAAAATAATATCCTTATTGCTTTTGAAAAATGGGCATTCCATGTTGTCCTCTTTAACCCAGTCACGAATGGCTCCAAAGTTCTCTCCTTCATGTTTTACAGCATGTTTTCTCCAGATGTAACATTGCTACTATTATACCAAACAGCTTGCTTCTGTTTATGCGACCCCATTTTCTGCACAAACGTGGATTGTGCTGAATGATGACTTAAGCAGAACATAGTGATTTTCTTTAATCTGATAGAGTGTGACAGGTAATAATCTTAAAAGACTGCTGAATTCACACAGTATAATACAGGCTTAATCTGACAATAATGAGAATAATAATGAGGGACATGTACAAAATGGGATTAGAGGTATTACTGTTGAAGCTAGAGCAGAAGTGGGGAAGACTTGAAATTAGTTTTAATGAATAAGACCTGCAGAAAAACTAGGGCGCAAACAGGAAGTAAACATTTGTGAGAAATAGAAAAGCTGTGGTCCATTGATCAGTGATGAAAAGTGTTTAAATGGCTCTTCAAATGAATGTTTTTGATGGGGACAACTGAAAATGTCCTCCCCTGAGGTTTTTGTACAGAATTGAAAAATAGCCTGGTGAGTTCATCTATAAATGTAGGTCAAGTTCAAGTACAAATAATAACATTTGCTGCAGCAAATAAGCTCTTAATGTAGGTTCCAGTCCATAGCCTATGCATTTGTATTTGTTTGTGTCTGTAATTTTACAAAATCAGACAGCAACTGTTGAAGTGAACCGCAGCCGTTAAATGAATTTGGTGGAAGCGTGGGTACATTTTTGCTGCTTAGTCAGTTATTAAATTGAGATGCTTATTCTTGTTTACAGTGTCAGCAATAAAACACTGACTTCAGTCTTGATAAATGACTTGTGATGGGTGTAGGGCATAGTCATTATCACTTAAATGACAATGATGACAACCAAAAATTAAGGGTTTTGCAGATACTGACTTTTTAAGACTTTATATATTTTATGTTAGTTTTTTTTTAAAATCTTAATCTTGGTAAGAGATGAGGTTAGTGGTCAGGATCGTAATTGTGCAGAGCCTGAGCAGTTAATGCCTTTCTCAAGTCACTTGTTATCACAGAACCTTATTACAGTCACATCATCTTTTGATTGGTTACTTTTTCTGAGCATCATTGGCATTCTACTAATAATAACATATTCATTAAAAACATTTCTTTACCTGTTATTTATGGATATTAATATCAATTCTTGTTATTCTTGTTGATGTAAATTGTAATACCTGCAGTAGTTTGTAATCCTGTTAGAATCAGTGGAAGCAGTGCAACCACAGAGGACAAGTCATTACATTTCCCCATTAATACGATTCGATTTGATTCATGATACTGGCTTCCAAATTCAATTCTCAGAATATTTTGAACAAAATTTAATGAAGAAAAATTATGACCGAAAAGATTGAATCTCACATTTCCATGATGCACATAGTCACATTTTTGCATCGCGATGCATCATGTCATGATGCATTGTTACATTGTTACACGTTTTGGTTGCTTGGAAACCATGTTTGCCAATTTACTAGGGAACATAATGTAATAGATTAATGCAATCAGATTAGCTGGTTAAGTGCAGTAATACAGACACAAGCAATTATAAAAATTCCCACATATGGGGATGACTCAGCGAAAATCATTTTCCTTTCCTAAGAAAGTATCTGGGGTAGTACATTGTGTTTGTGCCCACAACAATCAACCCACGGTCAGAGTCACCGAGATCATTCTGATGTTTGATGTTTGACTGGAGCTCTTGAACTGTATCTGCCTGATTTTATGCCTTGTGCTATTACCACATGGTTGGCCGATTGGACAATTGCATGAATGAGCAGGTTTACAGGTGTTCAGTAATAAAGTGACTGGTGAAAGTATCCTCTCACCCACTCACTGGTTGTAAGGTGGGAATAGACCTTAGATAGGATGCCTTTCCAGTGACAAGGCGTGGTAGAGTTCAGTACCTTTAGTAACCAAAGGCTTCGAATTACTCAATGGACTTGTACGATTTTTCACTTTGCTTAACCGTTCACTCTTTTACATCACATTATGTGTGCTTTTTGTTCATCTTTGTTTCCTAGTTCCCTAGTTACCTTGTTGTACCTTGACATATCTGTAGTATTATCTGCTTTTGCCTTCTGTCTGCCTTTATACTGATAATGGATCTCCGTATCTTAACTCTGCGAGTTATCTGACCCAAGCTCTGGATTATGGTGATGATGGATGATTATGGCAGCCTGGGCTGTTGCAGTTCAGTGGTTAAGGTCTTGTGCTTGTGACCACAAGGTTGTGAGTTCAAACCTCAAGAAGCCGGTGTTGGGCCCTTCCTCTTTAACTGCTCTTGTGTTTGGATTGGATTCTGCCACAGCGCAGTTGCTACCACATGAATAAATATGAATGTACTGAATAAACCCATATACAGAATTTTTGCAAATATGTCTTACTGACTCTGGCTCAGAACTGTTATAGGACCTTTAACTTCTTCCAAACTCCTTTAGTTTTACGATTGCCTGGTTCAGAGTCTGGTTTAAGCAAGGACAGTTTGATCATTTTTAAAAGACCCTTTTTTTAAGGGATGAGTGAGGCTCTGAAAAAGATCAGAGTCTATTATTTTTTGTCTTTACTGAAGAAAGAGTCTTATGATCAAAAAAACACTCCACCTTTGGCCAAGAATAACATTCGTCTTCTTCTCTCTCCTCTCTCTGTGGACGGTGTTTTTTTTTTTTCTCCTCGTGGTCTGGGGTGTGGTGAGCCGTTTGATTTGTTTAAGCAAGGCATTTCTCGAGATGCAAATGAGCTTTGTTTTGACAAAGAGAAGCAATGTCGCTCTGTTGTACTCTTGTAAATGAAAAAAAATCTATTTATCATCTTTTTCCTCTTTATTTAAAGCAGTAGGAAACATAAGCTACTTTTGCTGATGCTTGAGGTCTCAGCAAGGAAAGAATGCAGATGTTAAATAGTGCTGTGAGGTTACTAAGATCAAGTCTTGGCTCAATTATGGGTTATTTCAGAGTCACGTTAAAGGGACTTGTATATGTGGAACAGGAAAATGCAGACATTACATTACAGTTTGTGTGCCTTAGTGTCTTCATTTAAGCCATGTTGCGATTATCAGGGGTCTCAATATTTATAACACATCTGCCCTGGTATAAAAAAAGTGTTTATCAATCAAATTGGTGATGGCGACTGACTGGATCAGATAACTTTCCTTTGTCACTTTATATTGCCTGTCAGTCCCAGTGCAGTAGGTGTGACTTCTGTACCTGTTACAGTAAAGGAGGCATGTCTTCTGTATCTGTCCCAGTGAAGGAGGTGTGGCTTTTCTACCTGTCTCAGTGAAGGAGTCATGGCTTCTCTACCTATCTCAGTAAAGGAGGCGTGGCTTTTTTACCTGTTCCAGTGAAGGAGGTGTGGCTTCTGTACGTGTCTCACTGAAGGAGGCATGGCTTCTGTACCTGACCCAGTGAAGGAGGCATGGCTTCTGTACCTGACCCAGTGAAGGAGGCGTGGCTTTTGTACCTGTCTCAGTGAAGGAGGTGTGGTCTTTGTATCTCAGCACAGTGAAGGAGGTGTGGCTCCTGTGCTTGTCAGTTCCAGTGAAGGAGGCATGGCCTCTGCATCTGCCATTTCCAGTAAAGGATGCATGACCTCTATATCTGGCAATTCCATGTCCTCCCAGTCCTCAAAGCAGCACTCTAAAAACACTTTTTTTTTTGCACTGTGTCATAGGACGTCGCATCATGTCACGTTGAACAGTATAAATCGCATCATAGTATACATATGTTTTCAATCTACTGCTGTAAATGTATCTTTTGCTGAACATTAGTAGTGGAATGATTGGCCCATTAGCTCTGTATCTGATTGTATTTGACATATTTTCTGATCCATCCCACTGACGCATCCAAAACATGAACATTTGTGATGTTGATTGAAACAACACAGGTCCTGCACATAAACACAAAATGCACTCCATCATTTCTGTGATGTTTCATTTCACACAGAAGTAGAAGATTGCAGAGGGTAAGTTCTTTTAGTGTTAGGATTTTAGTTAGATGCTCAGAGATCTGGTATTTTTGTCGTATTTAAAAGGAAAAATAGGATCATGTTCTCCTGGATCACAATGGATTGTTGCTCACATACTGAGATATGCTCTGTATTGTATCAGAAGTTGAGATTCTAGTTATTATAAATGTTATGTGTACTTTTTCTCCACTTTTCAGTTTCCGATAGAAGTCCACAGCTGATTTCTAAATCTGTTCGTTTGTTCTAATGCGTGTTTTTACGAGATGTTTGTTCTTATGTTACTCCGCAGGTCGTGAAGCTGAAAGGTCAGGTCTTATCGGTTATGTACCGTTTCCGGATGAAGAATCGTGAGTGGATGCTGATCAGAACAAGCAGCTTCACCTTCCAGAATCCATACTCGGATGAGATTGAGTACATCATCTGCACCAACACAAACGTCAAGTACGTGTCTTTTTTTTTCTTTCTCTCTAAAAACGCATTCATGTCTATGGCGTGGAACAGTGAAGTCTTTTGTTTGGTTCAGTTTGACAGGTGGTGTCGCTCTACATGTGCTCGGGTGGGCAACAAATTGTGGCTCTTGGTCCTCTTCCAAGTGGACTATGGTTCACTTTGTTGCTGATGGCAGCATTTTTACAATGGTCTGGACCAAAAGGTCTATCTGTATACTGTAGGAAGGCAATTTCAATCAGAAGGCAACTAGAAAGATATCATTTTTGAACAGCATTTGTGAAGTCACTGTCGCTAGTTTGGGATCCATTCTCACTTTTCACGGTCGATAAACTAGTGTGTGGTTAATGTAGGAAGGGTGTCCCAAACATGATGCCTGCCAAGAATCCCTTAAAGTTCAGTGGTGCCTAGTGAGACCAGTACCTTTGGAAGGAAGCGTCTACTAAGAGAGCTGTCTCAGATAATGTCAGAAGAAATTGTGCCCTTGTGTATCCTTTAGCATTTGATGTGAAAACACTATAAGATTGCCTCTTTTCTTTCCCTTTCTTTCTTTCTTTCTTTCTTTCTTCTCCTTTAAGCATCCCAAAACAAAATTCTTTCTCTGCTGTCAACAACTTAAGTACACTAGATTTTGAGCCAGATTGCAGCAGTTTATTTTTCTTCCATGGTGCCTTGCATTGAAACCAAATCTGCATGGTTTCTCCCAAACTGAATAACACAAGCTGTTTTGAACAGTAAGTCCATCCAGACATCCTCATCCTCCACAGCGGACATTTACGAGGAGCTTTTCGTAATCAGTGCCAGTAGTCTGGAGCTTGCCCAAAAACAGTCCAGTGCGTGCTTCAGACTGGAAGCCGTTGCATAATGTCAGGTAATATTTAGTGGAAATTGACTTATGTGGGCGAGCTAAACACACCCCCTCATATTTCTTCACGCTAGGTCATGTTTGCTTTGGTCCCTCTGGCACCCACTTCTCTCTCAGTTACATAACAGCAGAACCTTGCTTTTTGCTGTTAGTTTCCCTCTCCTATCCTACCAAATTAAAATATGACACATTTTAAGGCAAAACATGTGACATGCATGCCTCCATTTCTTTCTGTTTTGAAGGGAAAGAATGACATGACATTTAGACCACTCACTCACTTTCTTTCCTGTATTGTGGTTAGGGAGTCTCGGGAAATGGCTCTGACTGCCTGAAACTGGAGAGTTGAAGACTGGAATAATATTGCTTGGTCTTTATTCAGTCTTTAACAGTCCAGTTTCTGTGAGCCTGTGCCCACTGTAGCCTCAGATTCTTGTTCTTGGCTGACAGGAGTGGAACCCCATGTGGCCTTATGCTAATGTAGCCCACCCACCTCAGGTTTCAATGTGTTGTGCATTCTGAGATACTTTTCTGCTCACCATGCTTGTAAAGAGTGCTTATTTTAGTTACCATAGACTTTCATTCAGATGTTAGATGTTTGATATGAACACATGTGTGTGCGGAGCTTGTTCTCCCTGTGCCTCGGGGGGTTTCCTCCGGGTACTCCAGTTTCCTTCCCCAGTCCAAAGACATGTGTTGATTGGCATTTCCAAAATTGTCTGTAGTGTGTGGATGTGTGTGCGACTGTGCCCTGCAATGGGCTGGCACCTCATCCAGTGTGTCCCCCGCCTTATGCCCCGAGTTCCCTGGGTTAGGCTCCAGGCTCCGTTGCGACCCTGTGTAGGATAAGCGGAATGGAAAATGGATGCATGGATTATTATTATTATTATTATTATTATTATTATTATTATTATTATATTGCTTTTTTATGAACACTGCAAAGCTCCTCTTTAATTCAGTCTGTATCATGCTTTCTGCTAAATGTTGTAAATGTAGTAAATCAAATACTACAGAGTAGTACCATTAACATCTTAAGTGTCTAAGTTTGTCAAGTGTCCTATTTACATGGTAGATGATTTGACATTTATCCCACTGTTGACTGTCTCACAATACCATTAAAATTAATTTCCCTTAATCACCATATACTCATTCATTTAATTTATAATTAATCATTTCCTGTAGGTTCCTAAACACAGTGGAATACAAATATTTTTATTTTTTAAAAATGACACCATTACAGCAACTGTTCATGTGGCGGCCTGGGAAAACCCTTTTTTGACATTTTCTACCTTGTACAAGTTTTCCTGAAAATGAAAATGTTTTGAATGTATCTGAATCAAAATGAACCTTATCGCATTTTTAAAGCACCCCAAAAGTGAAAAGGGAGAAAATTTCATTAGAAAATTTCATTCCTATTCCCACCTACCTGTATATTTATAACTTAAATCTACACACAGCATTACTGACAAATTTTAAAGAATTATAAGTTTACAGAGGGAAATGTGTTCTCACTTTGCTGATCAGCATCATCTGCATCAGTCTGTCTCTCATCACCTGAGATAAAAGTCACTCGCAGCATTCAAACACAAGCCTCATCATCATGTCTTCACTCAAATGATCTCTGTTTATCAGTGGGGAAGTAATGGCTGATTAATTCAGTGAGTTCTGTCGTGTTAGCTAATTTTATTTTTATTAATGTATTTTATTTACAAGTTTTGAAACTTTTGTCATCTGTACAAAGTGTGTTGGTGCTCTTCTCTGTTTTGATGATGATGTGACATTGCAGGAGCATCATAGACGTTTAGACTGTATATTATTATATAAATAATGTAGATAATATACTGTATATTATACTGTTACAGAAACTCAACTATATCATGCCTTGGTATAATTTGCAGTTTTGTCATTAACCACTAATAACAGCATTTCTGCATTTCATTCACAGTACAAGGCTTTGCGTGTTCTGATTCATGGCCCGAAT